GTCTTGCAAATAAGGTTACCATTGACCGCTCCCATATGGTCATACGCCTCTGTCCCTTTGTCGCTCTACAATAATTCATTTTGTGCAACTAAATCACCATGGCACCATCCACAACAGCAGACCTCGTGGCTTCCTCGCCCGCCCCGCCTACCAAGTCAATGGGCGGCAAGGTTGACGCCCTGGCCTCCATGGCTCACAGAGGCAAAAGCCTCCCCGGCATCCCAATTTTTGACTCGCACGCTGAGACGCGGCAGTGGCAGCTCGAACACATGGCGGCGGCCTTCCGTGTCTTTGCCCGCGAGGGCTACGCCGAGGGTATCTCAGGCCACATCAGCGTGCGCGATCCGGAGTGGACTGACCGCTTCTGGATCAACCCGCTCGGCGTGCACTTTGGCCTGCTGAAGGCCAGCGACATGATCTGCGTCGACATCCACGGCGAGGTTGTCGGTGGCAACGTGGCCGGATCCATCAACGCGGCCGGGTTTCAGATACACAGCGCTGTGCACCGCGCGCGGCCCGACGTGCACGCCATCTGCCACACGCACTCAGTGCACGGCCGGGCCTACTCGGCATTTGCGCGGCCGCTCGAGATGATCAACCAGGACGTGTGCTACTTCTACAACGCACACTCGGTGTACTCGGACTACGGTGGCATTGCCAACGAGGCATCGGAGGGCCAGAAGATTGCGGAAAGCCTCGGAGAGACCGGCAAGGCGGCCATCCTGATGAATCATGGCCTGCTGACGACGGGATACACAGTAGATGAGGCGGCGTTCCTCTTCTGCTTGATGGAGAGGAGCTGTAAGGTGCAGCTGCTGGCTGACAGCGCCGGGCACAAGAAGCACATTGTGAGCGACGAAGAAGCAGCTTATAACTTCAAGATGGCCAGCACCCCGGTATGTAGTTTGATGACCCCTTCCTTGACCGGTGACAGCCCCGGCTAACATGGCACACAGGACACGTTGTATGTAGAGTTCCAGCCACACTACAAGTACGAGGAGGCACTATCCAACGGCAGCTTCAAGCAGTAAAGTACATGCCACAACAAGATTAGGAATCAAATACAGGCATTTATGAAAAATAGACGGGTGGTTTGCTGCATGGCGTTGTAATACTGAGTCCGGCTGCTTCTTAACGTAATGAACACCGGGGGATTCTCTCACTCTCAATCCTTCAGTACTTTTAGAAGATACACCCCGTACAATATGATCACAATATAATATTAACCCCTACTCATCCGCAAATCCACACCTGCTCCGCGTCTACCCGATATTAGGCACATAGATATCTCATTGCCCTTCCATCTTTCCTGTCTTTGTGCAACCGTCAAGCAAAAGTACGATGTCGGTGATGCACGTCGGATGCCCCGCTGATATATCTCCCTTGTCATCGCCAGTGCCGCGATAGTCGATAAGCCATCCATGCCACTGGGCGGACTAGCGTCCGACAGACGTTGAGTCACCCCCACAATATTCCCGATCCCCGCCACACGATATGGCGATATGCTAAAGATCACGTATGGGACCAATCGTATCGCGATAACGGCGTGAATTGAATGTATCTTAGTGCTGATTTTAGTTCTAAAAAGAGCAATATACTAAAGTTGTAGCATCTACCAATATTGTGGCCCACTCAGAGCTTGCGAAGGAGGGACCGCTATCTAAATAGGCTCACATTTACTACAGGTAATACTAAGACCTGAGCAATCTCTTATCTCACATCGGCGCAGCGAGATATGTGATGGGCCACGATATTAGCCACCCCCGGCTCTGTTCTTGTTCGACCCCCAGCTTCGAGCCTCCGGTGGGTACTACCTACCCTGGATCCTTCATTTAGCCGGGATATTCCCACTTCACAACCCAGATGATCCCTTTGGCATGCTATGAGACTCAGTTCCATGACTAAAGCTTAACATCGACAACCGAGAGAGCCACTGAGCACACCATATCAATATGTCGGCCTCGAAATATTTTGAAAAGGGCCCTCCATCACCATCTATCGCCACAGAGCCTTCGTCCAGGATCGACGATGATCTTCGGCATGGAACGTCTGTAAATATATCCTCAGGGTCACAGCATCTGCACCGTAAGCTGCGAGGATCGGAAGTACAGCTTTTTGCTATCGGAGGAGCCATTGGTACCTGTAAGTTGACAAGAACTTCTGCTTCACAGCGGCAGCACGGAAGGCTGACGGCCTTGAAGCTCTGTATGTGCAAATGGGCTCGGCTCTCCCCAAGGGCGGCCCGGCAGGTCTCTTCATTGCCTTCTTCATCTGGGGTGCCGTTATGTGGGCCGTCAACGAGTGCTTCGCTGAAATGGTGACCTACCTACCTGTGCCCTCGCCCTTCATCCGCTTCGGCAGCGAATGGGTCGATGGCGCTCTCGGCTTCGCCATGGCCTGGAACTTTTTTCTTAACATGGCCTTCCTTGTTCCCTTCGAAATTGTCGCCATGAACATCATGATCACCTTCTGGACCGACAAAGTCCCCGTCGAGGCCATAGTTGTCGCCATGATCGTTCTATATGCTGTGCTAAACGTGGCAACCGTGCGTTACTTCGGCATCTCCGAGTTCTACCTGTCCATTTTCAAGGTGTTTCTGATGCTGGGGCTGTTCTGCTTCACCTTCATCACTATGCTGGGTGGCAACCCATTGCATGACCGCTACGGCTTTCGATATTGGAATCACCCGGGCGCCTTCGTCGAGCACATAGTGTCCGGAGGGACAGGAAAATTCCTGGGCGTCCTATCCTGCGTGTATCAAGCCAGCTTCTCGTAAGTGTAAATACCCACAGCCGCGCCCCCTACTCCTCCTAGTATGACTTTCTGTGTTGAAACTGACCACATCGAAAAACAGAATCTGCGGCCCAGAGTACATCTCCATGGTGGCTGCCGAGACCGAGAACCCCCGCAAGATCCTGCCCCCTGCATTCCGGTCCTTTGCCTGGCGAATCCTTGTCTTCTTTGTGGGATCTGCCCTTTGTATGGGTATCGTCATCCCGTACAACGACACCACCCTCCTGGGTATTCTTGGAGGTTCACTCACCGGGTCAGGTACAGGCGCTGCATCGTAAGTCTTCTCAACAATGATAGGTTGTCCCCTATAATCACTTGTCCTAACAATGTTTCGTACACAGGCCCTACGTCATCGCAATGGAGCGGCTCAAAATCAACGGCCTGCCCTCCCTCGTCAATGCGCTGATCATGACGTCCATCTTCAGCGCCGGCAACGGTATCCTCTTCGCGGCGACCCGCACCCTGCATGGTATGTCCCTCGAGGGCCACGCCCCGCGCTTCTTCTCTTGGTGCACCAAGGCCGGCGTCCCGCTTTGGGCCCTGCTCTTCTCGCTCAGCTTCTGCCTGCTCGCCTTCATGCAGGTGAACAGCTCATCGGCCAATGTCATGAACTACCTCGTCGACCTAGTCACCTGCTGCCAGCTTATCAACTACCTCTGCACGGCCGCGACCTACAGGCACTTCTTCTCGTCTCTCAAGCGTCAGGGTATCTCCCGCGACACCCTGCCCTACAAGAGTCGCTTTCAGCCGTACACGTCCTACTTCGCCATGGGTGGCACACTCTTCATGCTCCTGGCCGGCGGCTACGACCTTTTCATCAAGGGCGGCTGGGACGTCATGTGGTTCTTCCTCGACTATGGCATGATCGGATTCTTCATTGTGCTTTTCCTCTTCTGGAAGGTCGTCTTCCGCAGCCGCTACGTGTGGCCGGGCACCGCGGACCTGAGCCTCGGCGGGATAAAGGAGGAGATCGACAATTACGAGGCTTTGCTCGTCCCGCGCGAGAAGGACTTGGCAGATAAGGTGTTCGGGAAGATTTTTGAATGAGGTAGTGGTTGGCTATGTATAGGCGACGAATTGGACCATTACAATAGAACTAATTTTTGGCTCATGGCTCTAATCGCCGCCTTTATAATTATGATCTCGGGCCCGTATGTAATGCGTCTATCAATTAACATTGAACCTTTTAAGGGCTAGATTACGTCTCTCTTCAATGGTAGCGCCACTATTGAGTACACCTCCGCGAAGCCCACAAATGGGCTAGGACCCCAGGCCCAACACAACCCAGTGGCCTATCATAGGGGCCTTACGGCATCATGCCCCCATTATAATCCATTGAGGGGGTCTTAGCGCTTATAGACCGGCCTCTTGTAAACGCTATATCCCGACTTCCCACTGATTGAACGGACTTCAAATTTGGACTATAAGATCACTAGAGCTCCGCAAAGCCCATGAAACCCATGGCCCAGCCCACCCCATCCCGCAAATGGGCCTGGCTTTGGGCCCTACCTTCGGGCCCACCGGTAGGCTGTGGGCCTAACTAGAAGCCCACTGCGGGTTAACACGTCCCCAAATAGGCCCAAATAGGCCCTAAACAGTACAAATTTGCCGACAATTCGGAAGTTGAACCCCCTTTTAGGGTTTTTGAAATTATCTTTCGTTTTACCTCCGTTTCTATCCCTTATACTAAAGGTAATATCTTATTAGTTTAAATAAGTTAGAATCAATTAGTAGTTATCTCTCGATATCACGTTTAAAAGATGATCTATAAATTATAGAAGTTTATTCAAAATAGGTAGTACACCTATACAAATCCCAAATATATGCCTTCTCAAAACTTCAAGATTAGCCTTCTCCGTGGTATTTTGGCCTCTACCGGTCGGATTTTATTTATATTTGATATGTATACTTATATAACTACCACGATCCTAGAATCTAAATTTGAACATTATATACCTAGTGGAAGGTCATAATATAGCGATTCCAGAGGCCGCCTAAGATGGACTTTAATGGGGGCCTTATGGGCCCCTACGAATGGGCTGTGGGTTGGGTTGGGCTTCGAAATTAGATCCACAGCCCACTGCTGGTTGAGCTTTGGGCCTGGGGCTCGGCCCCATTTATGGGCTTTGCGGAACACTAACCTACCGTACCACATGGAGAAGCCGAAGTGCTTTTGCTGTTACTTGTTTCATTTTCATCTGTTAGTTCTATATCGTATAACCAGCATCAATGATTATGTTTGCCCCAGTCATACTCTTCGATGTCGCCAGACTAAGAACCTGGGCCGCCACATCCTGATGGTGGTGCCAATTAGTTAATACATACTTGAAGTGATAGAAGGGCTCGGGATTAAACAGCTTACCTCGACCGCAACAAACCTCTTCAGCTTGGTTTTTTGCCTGTGGGCTTCCTTCTGCTCTTTGCTAAACCGCTCTGCCCATTCCTAGTGATTACAAGATTAGGCCCAATTCCCATCTCTCATGGTAGATAGAGAGGGACATCCTCACCGTTTGAAGTAGCCCAGGCGACACGCTATTCACTCGGATCTTGGGCGCCACCATGGTGGCAAGGCCTCTGATCATGTGTAGCTGTGCAGCCTTCGTAGCCGAATAAGCCTGAAAAACACGACGTCATTAATTTCTGGAGAACTTGCGCAGTCCTTGCTGTGGTAATTCGACACTGTACTACCCGGGGGTCCAGAAAACGTACCAACGAACTCCCCATACCCTGCACGCCCGCAATAGAAGAAGTAGCGACGAACGCCCCCTCTACTTCGTCTAGGTGCGGCCGCGCCGCCTGCAGCAGCCACAGGTGTGACTTAACGTTAACGGCGAATGCACGGTCCCAGTCTGCCTCGACTGCATTGTCGTCGAGCGACGTCGTGATGCTGAAGCGCGTCCAACCGCCGTTGGAGAAGACGACGTCCAGGCGGCCCATCTGCGTGTAGGCCACGTGCACGAGACGCTCGACGTCATTCCGCGAGCCCAGGTCAGCCTGGATCGCGACGTGGCCGTCGCCGTCGAGCTCGGCGCACAGGATGTCGGCGCGTTGCGCATTGGTGATGTAGTTGACCACGACGCGGTATCCATGCTGTGCGAAGAGACGGGCGGTCGCGGCGCCCAGGCCTGCGCTACCGGCTGTGACGAGGACCACGGGAGTCGGGGATGAGGCCATTACTTGGACAATACACAAGTGGTCAATACACAAGTAGTAGATGGAGTCGCGGTGAATCTCAAATCTCTCCTATGGCTGAAGTACTTAATACTTTCTCGAAAATACACTGCTAAAGCCTGTGGCCGTTGCCGTCTTTCGGCGGGCGTAAACATGAACCAGGACATCATGTATACCGCTCAGTCAACCCTAACCCCTACCTCGGGTCGGGTTGTCCGACATTTTAATCCTCTCCATAGCTTGTCGAACGTATCTTGGCGCCAGTGGGGGCCTGATAAGCACGAAGCCTATCGATATCGCTGTCGGCCCCGCCGCTACATTCCGCTAAAGGAAGAGGGGTACAGCCAAATGCTGATTTTAGAGGTCGCCTTAGTGGTTATAGTTAGACCAAAAAACGGTCGGTTTTTAGAGAGCGTTGCAGCCAGGTCTCGTCCCCTGGGCAGTATGCGATGCTTATCAGAGCTGATATCTAATAAGGTACAGGTGTGGTGGTTTACTACGTATTACACTCCTCCCAAGTTACGAGTTTAAGTCAGAAAGCACACACAGGTCTATTAAACCCCTATTATTATAATTTGCGCTCGCTACTTGCTGCCATTAAGATTTACAAATCAACAGAGGTAGACAATTTCACGGGGTTGATGTGCGAACCTGTTTCAGATGGCATCGTTGTCAGTTATCGCCGTCGTGCTGGCGCCGGTCCTTTTCCTCATCAAATATCTACTCGTCGACCCCCTATTTCTGAGCCCCATGAGCCAAGTGCCCGGGCCTAAGGCGTTCGCCCTGACAAAATGGCGACTGGCATACGAGGACTGGAAGGGCGCGCGCACGCGCAAAATCCACCAGCTGCACCAGAAATACGGCCCTGTCGTTCGCATCGGCCCAGACGAGGTCTCGTTTAACAGCCTGGCGGCGCTGCGGACTATCTACGGGCCAGGTAGCAAATATGGTCGAACGGGCTTCTACCGCATGTTTGACGTCTACGGCCGCCAGAACCTATTCACCTTCCACTCGGCCGCGGAGCATGGCCAGAGGAAGAAGCTCCTCTCCCACGCCTATTCCAAATCCACTATGCTCAAGGAGCCCTCTGCGAGTATGGTCGAGGAGAAGGCGCGCAAGTACATGGACCTCATCGACGCGGAGCCGGGGCATGTGAGCGAGATCTTCAGCACACTACACTACTACTCCCTCGATAACATCACCGAGTTCCTGTACGGCAGGTACGGGTCCACGTCTGCCCTAGAAGGCTCAGAGCCACACCGGGCTCTGATTGGCGACATCTTGGATCCATCTCGGCGCAAGCTTTCGTGGTTCACTGTTCACTTGAACACAGTGACGAAATGGCTTTATTCGCGCACAAAAACAATGGAGAGCATTGTTCAACCGCTGCTGCCCATGCAGAAGCCTGCCACATATACCGGCATTCGAGAGTTTGCGTTGCAGGCGTATAGGAGCTTCCGGTCAGATATGGAAACATCCGAGAAGGGGGGTGGTCAGCCCTTGGGGGATGCCGAGGGCACGTCTATCCTCGAGCGCCTCTGGGCTTACCACCAGAACCACAAGACGGACGGTCTGGACGACTTGGAGATTGCCTCGGAGTGTGCAGACCACTTTCTCGCCGGCATTGACACGACCAGCGACACGCTCATGTTCCTAATATGGTCCCTCTCCCAGCCCAGAAATAGCGCCTTTCAGAAGAAGCTGAGGCGGGAAGTCCTCGGACTGTCTGGGGAGTCACTCAACGGCTACGGCCTTCCCACCGCCGAGGCTAGCGACAGATGTGTCTACCTGAACGCCGTTATTAAGGAGACGCTAAGGCTATATGCCCCCTTGCCAACCTTTGAGCCGAGATCGAGTGTCGTCGATACCGTCATTGACGGGTACAATATCCCGGCGAATGTTACCGTGGGCATGTCTCCATTCACCCTCCACCGCAACCCCGAAGTTTTCAAGGATCCTCGTACTTTCGACCCCGATCGCTGGCTGGGGCCACAGGCGGCCGAGATGAACCGCTGGTTCTGGGCCTTTTCGAGCGGTGGCAGGATGTGCATCGGTTTGCAGTCAGTCATTTCCCTCCTATTTCTTTTCTTTTCTTTCTTTTTTTTTGAACGCAAACCTTTTGCGCAGTGGGTGTGCAAAATGCTGATTCACTTTTCAACAGCTTGGCAATGGCCGAAATGACGACGCTCGCGGCAACGATATACCGCAAGTACAGTACCACGATCGCGCCGGGGTTTGAAGATATCACGCCGGGGATCACTGCTCGATTCGAGGTCTTTTATGACGATAGATTCCCCAAGATGCTGGTGTGTTCACTTAATCCTGACTTGCACTACCCGCAAATGACGCGTGTTCAATACTGATATCCCTGCAGGAGCATACTTGCCTCATCAAATTTGAGGAGCTTGGGGATAATGCTTGAGGTAGCGAAGGCGGTCTAGGTAGTAGTGTCGTAGGAACAGAGAGATGTGCCCATGCCCTGTAGCTATCATATTCTAAGAGAGATATCCTTGGACTTTTGGCTCCGTGTCATTGATCTCTAGGCTGTAGGGAACGAATCGCTGCCATCCCGGAGTAATCTGCAGGTCTGGAGACGTGAAAGAAAGCTCTCTAGCACGTCTGCTTGGTCTGTGTAAACTTGATGGCAGCCGCCAAATACCCTGACTGGAGCTTTAATGGTTCGAAAGTCACGGAGGGTGATTAAATAATCCGCTATAGTTAACTATACGTATCCAGTATATGGAGAGGTAATAACATTAGAGTTGTAACAATATATAGCAACATCTAAGTATATCAAATATGCTGCCTGGCTTTAACAGGGATAGAAGGCATGTTATCGCCGGACGTCACATCACCGGGCCTTCGATCCTCATAAGATACCGTCACCTCATTAACTTGATAGATACCAGTTGAGTGAGGAGATGGATGTTGCAAAATACGTCTCGTATCTGTATCCTCTCCGTGCCCTTCATTCCTCCCACTATCCCTAGACTCGCTGTCAACATCTTTGCCATGCACGGTAGTCGTTATCACTGTATCCATGGCAAAGGTCGGTCTTGCGCTGCATCCACCGCTGCGTCCACCACTGCTTTTTCCATAGGGAGGGAGATCGTTGTAGTTTGAGGCGTCGTTGGATGAGAGGTTGCCGCGGATGGAGCGGTAGAGAGGTCGAAGGGCGGGGATGCTGACACAAACAATGGTGGTGGTAAGTTCAGACATGGTCCACATCACCGAGTCGGTCGTTGCATCTATCCTGCGATTAGCCTCGGAAAATAGATCAGGGATTCTGAAACGCACAGAGATAGTCGGTTGATTGAGTTAAAGCGTCGAGACCTGTTGTTCGGATTATGCCGCAAATTCCGGCGCTGTGATAATATGTCAGTATGATAGTAAGGTAATATCACAACCCAGTAACTGAAGAACTGAGAAGAAAAAAACTAACAATATACCCAAACTTAATGAGAGGCAAATGGTGTATTTCTCCTTCTTCTTCATGTTCAAGTTCCACAGGGCTACCCATGGGAAGAGAGCGAGAACAAAGTCAAGGACAGCGGACCATGCTAGATATATGTTAGACAAACTAGAGGGGTAGGTGGTGTATAGAAGGAGAAAGGCGAAGCATACCACACATAATTGTGGCCATGATCGTGAGATTCAAAGAACAGCCATTACTCGGAACACGGGAGTCCCAGATCGACTGAACTGGTGTGCATTGTGCAAAAACAGTAATAGCCAACAGGATACTAAGAGTCATAATACTAATATTCCAAAACCAGAGGAAGAGCTTGTGCCTGCCGCTAGTTAGGCAAAGTTCTTCGTTCAGTTTGTTAGATGAGGGGCATACCATTTTTTGACAACAATCCGCATTAAGAAAGCAGCGACAGCGCACTTGCTCAACCCCATTGAAATTGCTATAACACTTTGCCCAATCAAGAGCAGTAACATTCCTTGAGTAGTATCCTCGATGCCAAGTTCACCTGCGTGCACACCCATACCATGATGTGCGGATGCTGTACAGAGGGCTGCAAAGGCAACCATCAACACCTGCAATTTGATATACCAAGTTAGGAAAGTAACAAAAGCCATGGATGTCTCAGAAAGGTGCATACCCAAGTGAAAATAAGCAACAAGTCATCCCAACCAGTACTGCGGCGGATCACAGTCCGTGTATAAATTCGCAGTGCAAGTACAATCATACACAAGATTGTTTCAAACCAAAGTACTCCAACCAACGTTGGACCCTTACCACGGAGAGTCATGTTGGATGTGGAGTTGAAAGTCAGGTGTCAAGGATAATGGCATTCAACATTGCTTCTTGTTCTCGTTTAATACATTCAAGCCTTAGAAGAAAGAACAGTAGTATGAAAATAATAGGGGCCGGGCTAATGATCCTGAATTATGATCTATTGTGACAGCGATGATCTCAGTCCACTTATAGCTAGGCCTAACGGGTGAACATACCCTCGCGGACCTTATGGCATAAAAAAGAAAAAAGAGAGAATAAAAGTTTGCGACCCATTGAGCGTTGAGGATAGCACAGTAATCAGAGATCGCTTCCAGTAAAATTGGAGGAAGTCATAGCTGATCAACCATAGAGGTGGGGATGACTGACTCGATTCTATCTTATATCATACAAGTTCGCATTATCGGTGCTTTTCGCCTCTTAGTTTATCTACGACATATTCCCTCTTCTATTTCTTCTAGTCCTATGCATTTCGATGCCTTCCTTCATAGATATTTTGCTCTCAACATTTCATCCGCGCCATGGTATGTATTGCCATGATGTAATGGAAACTTGAAATCCTGCTCTGCAGCCTGTCTGCATTAGTGACACGGGCGGAAATTAAACGATATATCACACAGTATTCCGTACTTTTGTTGATGAGGGTACGGAGTACGCATATATCTATCCTACCTAGGTAGCGCGTTACTGGAATTTAAGCCCTAGGATTGGTTCGCTCCCAGCGGAAAAGAGGTATCCTGCTTCCGCTAGCCTCGTGGTGGCCCCGGGCCTAGAGCTTGGGATCATTCATGAGGTGCCATTTCCGGCGTTTTAGGTACACGTATCAGCTAGTCCTACTCCGTACATGATCAGGCCATCACATCCACCTGTGTATTTATCGGAAAGATTCCGAGGCATTGACAACAGCTAGAAGCGTAAGTATACTTCTTGGCACTCGCTTCTCTGACATGGAAAGGAAAGCTTCTGTAAATACGAGCAGGGAGATATTTTAAACGAAAATAAAATTAAAGTGGAGAGTCAGTGAACAAATCAGATATCAAATTAAGCCGTCTCCATTCACATGCAACATAGTGTACTTCGTCTTGGTCTAGCCCTAGCCTGATCGACAACGCCAGCCGCCTTGGCTAAGCTACGAGCCGTCCGAAACGTTAAGCCGAGATAAGCTCCACTTGAAGGAATGCCAAGGGCCGACCTATATGTCTCAAACCTTTTCGTAGCGAAAAAAAGTACCGATTTGTTTGTACAACATATTAGAATATCATGTGGCGAATGACTATGTTGTATATTGTGGATGCTGAATTAAAATTACGTAGCTATATCAGCTACAGAAACGTCAACTATGAGAACAGAAAGCAGTAGAATTCACGTAATATCCATCTTAATTTATGCGTCGGTCCTGAAATCAGGCCATCCTTTTGTTCAAACTGTGCCTTGCGAGCTGGTATCCTCAACATCAAGCGCATCCTGAAGGTCCATCTCGACTTTGTCACCGAACTTACCATTGATCTCCTCAAGACTTAGCCCCATAGTCTACCAGAGAATAACTTGTTAGATGGAAGTATCACAATGTATGAGCAGAAATTAAAACATACCTCAGGGAAATAGAACATGATAACAATAGTACTTGCAACGGTGACAGCAACAAATACCATATAGAACTTCCATCCGATGTTGGTAAGAGCCAATGTGACAGGCGCACTATATGCAACAGCATTGCCAAAGAAACTGACCAATGCAATGGTTGCTCCCTCACTGCGCAGGTGTGTGGGCCAAATTTCCGAACCATAAACGTACGCGGTACATTCAATGGTGGAGGTGAAGAAGGCACCGAATATGAAATATATCGCCACGGCGCCGTTGATGCCAGGTGTGTAGGTCGTGTTGAGGTAGAATTTTTCGAGAGCGGCCATGACACTGATGATAGCAGCGGAGCCAAATCCACCGATCACTAGGAATGCTATGTTTAGTATAAAAGAACGCATAAAATCGAACGGCAAAAGAATCCCAAACTCACCCAACAGCTTGACTCGTCCAACCCTATCCAGAAGGAAAACATTAATTCCACAACCAATCACCGCACACACGGTCCAGACAACGCCAAGTCCAAGTTGCATAGTGGTACCAAAGCCAAGCGCGCCCATTAGTGTGGGAATCAAATTTGCGATGGCAGTGATACCAGTTCCCTGACCCATAGTCCACAACAAAATGGAGCAGAGAGCGCGCTTGCGATGAGATGCAGTGCGCATAATATAGAGATAACCGCTGGGGGTATCTTTCTCTGCGTCGACCTGAGCCTTGATCTGAACCGCCTCAGCATGAGCAAAAGCAGCTCTAGGGTCTCGCTTGGTACGATGTAGGTACTCCAAGACCTGTTTAGCCTCCTCATCGCGTCCCTGTTGCATGAGCCAACGAGGGGACTCGGGGATGAAATAAAGTGTCACCAAGTAGATAACACCCACAGCAGTCAGAACGATGAAGATAAACCGCCATTGCATTTGAGTGGTGACGAAACTGAAGGCCAGCGCGCAAACAGCGGCTAGAATATATGCTACCACCGTACCCACGCCATGCAGACCAACCAGCATTCCCCGCGTGTGTGGAGGGGATATTTCGCTCATATATACGGGAGTATTCGAGAATACCATACCAGCGCCGACGCCGCAGATGACACGAGCAACGATAAACATGGTAGCATCGACGGCACCGGCCTGCAACGCACCTGAGATAATGACGATGAGGGCAGCGACAGCGTTGGCAATTCGTCGGCCAAACTTGTTGGATACAGGTGCCTGCAGGATTGCACCAACTAGGGCACCTCCGAGGAAACTGGAAAATACTTTTAGCTGAAGATGCTTTTGTCTGGATCAAAGGTGAAAATACCCTCCAAGCATACCATCTTGTCGAGATGTTGCATCAGGTGTCGACAAAAACTTTGCGATGAATGTTGTCTGTGAGAGAGAGCCCGAGAGGGCGTTGGCCGCAAAGCCATATACGAATCCTCCTAGACACGCAGTAGAAACAATCTATCACATCAGCACGAATACTCAAGTAGGGAGAGCTAGCAAAAGTACCAAGATATTGACAAGACTGGTCTCTGGTGTATCACCCCCCTTGACACTTTGCGTGCGTGTGATAGACCGAGTTTTCTCGGGGTCTTGAGTTGAACTTTGAGATTCACTCATTTTGGCTGTTGGGGTATGACTGAGAAGGAGGAACGAGGCAAAAAGGACAAGGCCGCAGGTGCAAACCGAGAGGAACTCAAGAGACTTTCATCGTCCCGGAAATCACCCCTATTCAAGTGTGAGCAAGTAATGTGGCTGTCACGGTACCTTCGCAACTGTGCTGCTTAACACTGTACGGCATACTTGACGAAAAGCGGGTCCTGAAGGACTCTTTCCTGAAGTACGGAGTAGGCTGGGCCGAGTTCTAGCCACTCCAAAAATGCTAGAGACACTAGTAGCTGGTGTATATGGTAACTATAGCGAAAATTAAGATGATCCTTGAACGTAAGTTTCACTACTCCGTACGGAGTACATAGCTGGTCTGCTTTTGGGGGCGAAAATATGTGTTGTTATCCACACCGAGATCGGCGTCTAGGTCTACTAAGAGAGAAAAACAGGGCGGCAGAAGAAACCTTGGAAATCTCTTTGCTGCATATGAAAATTGAGTACTCCATACTCATGTTCTTTAAACTTCGTGCATGAATGGCACTAATGCGGGCGACGAAGTGTGCCCCGGCGGACTTTGGTTGTATTGATTAATATTGATTTATTGCTTTTTTTTCTCCGCTTTCAATTCACATATACTGGTCCGTTTTGTTCATATATAACGTGTATATATATAACCCATCAACTGCTTTCTGTGTTTTCTAAAGGTATTTTATAATGGGAGAATACATCCATACATAGGTGCTACAATTATATAACTACTAGTAGTATCTTGATGCGTAGAGTTTACCCCCGGGGCGCTAAGGCTTCGGGACACGAGTCCTTAGCTATAGAATGGGGTCGAATACTACATCCTTAGCTAGTACTAATAGCCAATAAAACTAAATTCTCTGGTGGCACACTTTGTCACCTACAATAAATCAGTTTGATTGCATTGTTCTCAAAGAAGAGGCACACAGGGCGATCATAGTCCGTTAAGGCTTGACAGCCCCGACGCTAACTTGATATTGGCGTTGTTACCAAGGCCGGGGCTTCGGAAAGTGGGTCATACTCCACCACCTGACGCCGTTGACACAATAACGGTGGTTTCTGGGCAATGGGGCAGGATATACGGAGTAGGTAGTCTATGGAGATGGTTCAATTCGAGATAGTATGAGGCCGAATGACCCCAAGAACAGGGGGTCAATGCCGATCTACAAATTCAAAGGATTATCAAATATAAAATCCTATCTAGCCACACTAAGCCGAAACAAAAATCAGTGCTTCGCCCCCCGTTCTTCACATATCCATATTCGTCCTGTCGCCTAGCCGATCATCTGCAAAATGGATGTCCCAGAAGCACCTATATTTCCCCTTCTTGAAGGCAAGGTCGCCATCATCACAGGTGCCGCCCAGGGCATGGGCAAGGCTACCGCTTCTGTCTTTCTCCGAGCGGGGGCTAAGGTAGTTATTGCCGATGTGAAGGCAGAGCAGGGAGCTCAGGTTGCAGAGGAGCTTTCTGCTTTGGGAGAAATCCGTTTTGTGGAGACTGACATCTCCAAGTCAGAGGATGTACAAAACCTCATTAAGCAGACAGTGAGCGCCTTTGGCAAGTTGGATGTGGCAATCAACAACGCAGCCATGTCTCCTGATCAGACTCCCCTGATTGACTTTGATGAATCATATTGGCGCAGATTGATGGATGTCAGTTTGACTGGTACCGCAATGTGCTGTAAATACCAGATGCAGCAGATGGAAAAGCAGGGCTCAAAGGGCTCTATTGTCAACATTGCTTCAATCAATGCCTACTCACCACAACCGAATATGCCAGCATACACTGCGGCTAAGCATGCCCTGTTGGGCTTGACCAAACATGCGGCAACTGAAGGTGGCCCTAAGGGTATTCGGGTTAATGCTATTGCCCCTGGAGCGATATTTGTATGTTTTCCTCACCTTTAATCCAGAGAGGGTCTAATAGAAGCAGAGTGAAATGTCAGTCGCGGCATTGGAGATCATGGGCACCACCCATGATGAGTTTGCGCCCAAGGTTAGCAGCCTGAACAGATTTGGACAACCGCATGAGGTAGCACAGGGGTCCCTTTGGCTTGCATCCGAGTGTTCATCATACATAAACGGAATTTGTATGCCCATCGATGGAGGGTTCCTGGCTAAATGGTAGTTAGCTTTGCATTGTATCATTAGAGTATAGTACATAGTTATGTACATATCCCAATTCCCAATTCTCGGATCATTAATCTTGTGTGGCCAAATTGTGAAGTCTACAGCACAATATGTTACAGAAAGAGGAAGAGAGTTGTTGATTGGAGGAAGAGAAAAGCACTGAGAAGTCCCATCATGGCCTGAAGCATCAGGCAGCAATATCAACACAAACCCCACATAAGCGCGGGGTCAATACCTACTATGGATGCACTCAGTCTCTTATGGGGTTCCTTTTTCTAATTTAATTTAGATATCTGCTTCGGTTAATTACTGATCATGCACATCGAGACCCAGTCACTTTGGATGACTGCGAAAGCCAAACTGGACAAGGTTGACCAGAAGCTTCTCGACTTTGACAGCGACGATGGTACTAAGAGAACTCGAAAAAACGAGCATGATATACTGGAGAGTCTCGAGCAAACTACTCGGCAAGCATACGATACATGCATTCACAGGAGATGGCAAATCACCATCCCAGGAAAAGGAAAGAAAATTATCATTCGTGACCTCCTGAGCAAAGTCGCGCACTGGGTCGAACTATTCAAATCAGTAGGCGATCAGGTTGTGCAGTATGACCCATGCCATGCTGCCTTACCGTGGGCGGGAGCTCGATTTTTATTGCAGATCGCCATCAATGATTTCAGCAAATTCGATTTCGTTGTGCAGGGGGCCGAAAGAATCGCCAGAATGACGGCACGTTATAGAATCATCGAGCAAATTTACGCTCAGAAAGGCTCAGCTGCCTCGGAGCAGCTCGAGGAGGCCATTTTGGGGGTGTATGGCTCGATCCTGAAATACCTCGTTGAGGCCAAACGGTATTTTGAACATAAAACAGGAGGTGAGCTTTATTGCCAATTTCGATTGTAGCTAGGGAAAGCTCACAATCTCTAGTGCGAATCCTGAAAAGTGGGCTTCTTGGTCAGAATGATTTCCAAGAACTTTTGGAGAAAATGGAAGCGAATGAGAAATTGGTAGACCGGTGCGCAAGCTTGGTTCAAGGTGAAAGTAGGTATTATATTCACCTTCTTTCGTTCGAGCTGCGTAGTTAATCACTATTTTATAAGTGAACAACGATATTGTCTCTCATCTTGCGACTTTGTCATTAGGTAAGGAGATAACTTAACCTACAAACTACCTAAGATACCCACCACTCATAATTCTATAGAGATGGAGACATTTCATTCACTGCGAGATACGCTCAGTCAGATGGCACAGCCAATCTCAGAGGTATCCTTCCACTTGGACAAGTTCGAGGATCATTTGGACAGTAAGTTTCCCTATTTAACCCATCGCAGCAATCTAACCTCCCTTTCAGGTATACAGCGACGACAGATGTTAGACTGGCTGTCTACTCAGCCATACCTTGACCACCATACCACAATCAAATCTAGGGTCCTGGATGGAACATGCCGATGGGTTCTACAACATCCAAGTTTCACTGAATGGAAATGTGAAAGCACAAACTCGCTGCTCTGGCTTCATGGTGCTCAGGGTGCTGGCAAAAGCTGCTTAGCATCGATGGTCATTGATGATGCAACGAATGTCTCCAATCAGATTGAAGACTTCGCTCACGCCTACTTTTATTGTTCACGCAACACTGCTGAGCCCCAACGTGGGAATGCACAGAGTATTCTTGGGTGCATTGCGCGTCAGCTTTCCAGTCCATCTTCAAACCAACCCCTTGCCCCCCAACACTTTCTCTTTACAGGAAAATACACCTGGCAGATGGTTCCACGAGAGCTCCCAGTTTGTGGGAATGCCGTGATTTAATCATTGATCTAACAGAAGCCCATTCCCGGACCACTATTGTCATAGATGCTCTGGATGAATGTGGTAGGGAGGAGCGAGCAGAACTCGTCGAGGCACTTGAGTATATCATCGACAACTCTGCTAGTCTCGTCAAGGTCTTTGTCACTTCACGCGAAGAGGGTGACTTGAGGTTATCTATCCAGGCGCACTCCGGGGTTCAGGTGACATGGATAGAGAATGGGACCGATATCGAGAAATTTGTGAATTTTGAAACGGACAGGCTTATTGCAAAGAACCAGCTGCTTGCCTCTATCCGAGTCAAAGCGACAAAGGAGGATTTGAAGGCATTGATCAAAGAAGATACCATTCACAAGGCTAACGGGATGTGAGTTCATATATTTCTGCTCCTTCAGTTACGCAAAGGCTCACGATGTTTAGGTTCCGTTGGGCCCAATTGCAGCTGCAGAGTCTTCGTTGGATTCGTTCGGAGAGGGACATCAGACTTGCTATGTCGACGATCCCGCGTCCACTCAGTGAGCTATACGAGGACCTCTATATAAAGGCACTCGAAAGCACCGAGGAAACAGATCGAGCTTTGTTCCGAAACACGCTGAAATGGATGTTATGCACGACACGGGTTTTCGGTTGGGAAGATTTTTCTCTAGCTATCACGGCCTTCGTGGATATTGAGGTATACGAGATTGATGAAGATTTCATCCTAGATCTTCTCAGCAATTTCGTGGTCTCTCAGACAACCCAAGACGGGAACAGGACTTTCCGTTTCGCCCATCTGTCAGTGCGAGAGTTTTTAGAAACAAAGCCGGAATACTCCATGGAATCTAGCAACACCTTTGCCGCCGAGGTATGCTTGTTGAAATTGCTCGGAGCTTCTGGGTCGCCGAGTGCAGTACGGTTCCTCAGCAGACTGGGGCTCAATGATAAAGACACCGTAACTTTGTCAGAGATTGACTCTTACAGGAAAGGCATACATGACTACTCCTTGCGAAATTGGAATGTACACTGCGTGCGAGCGGGGGAAGCAAATCGATCAGACGAGGAACTACGCATTTTCCATCTCTTACGCTATTTTCTTTTTGATGACTCGGATTCGGACTGTCCACTGAAGTGTTGGGTACATTCTCGCCAACGCCGCAAAATGGAAGGCGTACGTGGATTGCACCTTCGGCAGCTATTGCAGAATTACCATCGATCACGGGACCGGGGAGTTTTGCTTTCCTGCGTCTTCGGCTTCGGTGAAGTTCTTCGCACCAATCACTACCATGCGCTCGATGATGATGTCAAAGAAGCATGTATTCTGGCGGCCGTGACACACTCCCAGTACTATATCTGGGAGTATTTGATGGGAGAAGCCAAGGACAAATTACTTCAAAAGCGGGTTTTGAATGTTCTAGTCGAAAATCACCATATCGAGCCCCTCAGATTGTTCTTGACTCTCATCGAGCCTGACCTAATTACCGTACCGGTCATTATGGAAGCTAACCGGGCAGGTAAAGAAATGATTGAGCTGTTGCTTGATCATAATAAAAATCTCCACATTACGGCGGAGCTCATTGAAGAATCCATGTCATCTTACACGGCCATTGAAGCAATTCTCAGCCGGGCCCCCGATATCTTAATCACCTCTGAGATACTCAAGAATGCTATAGCCGACATACCCATCGAAAACCTGAGAGAGATTCTTGACAAGAATGATGTATCAATCATTACATGTGAAGTTATCGCATCGGCTGCATATTACGGTTCTAGAGACGGTATGCAAGCCAAACTAGAGCTTTTGCTGGAACGCGCTGGACAAGTCAAAGGGACCGATAGAGCTATGATGCAAGCCATTAGCTCTCACGAAAACTCTGAGGTGATTGAGATTCTTCTTAATCACGGTTGGCCGGTAACAGAAAACGTTATGGTGAAAGCTGCAACACGGGGGAAAGTTGCCCCTTTCAAGGTTATGCTTAAGGCTGGTGGCCCAATTACGTCAAAAGTCATTGTTGGCGGAGCGCGAAATACCAGTGATGGAGCTCGAATGGTTAAGCTACTTGTATCCTTGATGAACCGACCGTTAGATGATGAACTATGGGTTCAAATGATGATGCAATGCGCTCAGAATACATGGGGGAATCCCGAAACCCTTCAAGTGCTCCTTGAAATGAAACCTGGTCTGATGGTTCCAGAAGGGATTTTGATTGCTTGCACAGAAAATTCCATCAAAGGGAGCATCATCCTGGATGTCATTCTGGAGGATAAACGAGAGATTGAAGTTACCGATGCAGTGATCGCACATGCATTAAAAAAGTTGGACTACGACGAAACCATATCGAAACTTCTCGACCGACACGACTCAACAAATATTTCGAGCCAGATGCTACTTGGGGCTGTTCAGAACCGTCGATTCGCAGATGAAATGACAAAGCTTTTATTGCAGCGAACCGCGACGATTGAACGGCCATCCTCGGTGGTTGTTGATGCAGTCATCCATAACCAGTATTCAGGTTATAAAACACTGCAGATGTTGGAGAACCGTTTCGGACAGCTTGATCTCTGCGAGGCGAATGTGAAAACTGCGGCCGAGTCTGGCAATCACGCTATGCTGACATTGGTATTGGACCGATGCTCAACCACCGAAGCCACGCCATCTGTTCTGTTAGCCGCCGCTACCAAGGGGAGTTTGGAGGTGATGAAGCATCTTTTGAAGCTAAACAACGCTGTTGTTACCCAAGAGATTTTGATTGGGGCATCAGGAAATTCCGATTGTAGCATTGACATGCTCAGGGTGCTTTGGAAGTTTGCACCACACATCGAGGTGTGCCCTGAGATGTTTCTGAATGCTACATATGCGGCGGATGTTGAGTTTCTTTTTTCTCGGGTGAAAGATTCACAATTGTGCCAGGATATTCTAAATGCAGTGATGACAACAACAGAGACACCTAGCGATTGGGGTGATTGGGTATCTGGGCCTACATTAAATCTCATCCTTGACAGTGGGTTTGAAATTGCAGTGACTGATGGACTTATTGTCGATGCCTTAAAAGCCGGCCGGGGGTGGCTTTTGAAGACTTTGTTTGCCCACCGAAAAGATATTGAAGTGTCACAAGATATGGTAAACACAGCAATCGAGCTAGCAGTCAAGCTGGAGGACTATCGACCCCTACAAGTGTTGGTCAAGTATGGGAATTCGCGTGAATTGAACCTGCATGATGCAAGAGTTATCCTCGATAATTTCCTATGGGGTTTTAGCAAGGATTGAGTATCTCTATCTTTGCCAGTTATTTGTTCAAGCAAGAACTTCGAAGATACCAGCAGTATGGAAGATCACGTTATTCCCAGGCCTACCAGGGGGCTATTAAACGAGGTTTAGCTTTGATGAATAGATCACGGCAACGTTAAGTGTAGGGTAAGGCTTGATGATATGCCAGTGTTAGTATGAGACATCTTCAATCACTATGTGAAAATAGTTAGTGGACAATGATTAGTGGGATAGTCGGAGCTTTGGTTCGTAGAACCGGCGCTGCATTTCTTTTTTGGTTGGCCGTTTTAGCATACATAGGACACGGCACAGTTTATGCGCTAGTATCCACACACTCATGAGCGACACTTCTCTGTGCAAAGTACATCTACCGGCTACTAGTGTCGATCAATATGTACGGGCGACAAAGTGTGCCACGCCGAACTTCGCATTATAGTGATTTCCGGTTTTTTCTCCACTTTTGAAACTCACGTTATATACGTCGAACAATGTAGATGGTACATTATACTGTCATCTATATAGGGAGAGTTAACATTGGAGGCACCAGTGCCACGGCACACGAGTCCTTAGCGATGAAACGTGGGTGAATAGTAAAACTTTTTCCAGTAGTAATACAGAGTAGTCAAGGGGGCTAAAATCCTGGTGGCACATTTCACGACCCGTGCATGTGGGTCATAAAACGGTTGTATAACAATACATCGTACGGAGTACTTTGTACACATTAGTACTCCATACTAAGTCGGGGATTGATCTTTTCATTCCCGATGAGGTTGTGGATCGGCCAAGGATACGGCTCGCCCGTTTCATTAAGACTAGAGCCAGACGCACCCGCGTCTCTTATAAATAAAAGTATCCGGTTTGCCTTTATCTTAACCCAGCTCTAATCAAGAAATTCGCTCAATTACATCCCTGTCAATATGGGTAGTTATCAAGGCACATTCCCTCGCATATACGAGCACAAGCTTGCTCTAGTAACGGGATCCGCACGGAGTAAGTCCGACATTGGCTCCTTTCATATTCCATACTCATTATCTTCCAGGTATTGGAGCTGCAATAGTTCAAAATTTGGCCAGCAAAGGCTGCAATGTAATCATCAACTATGCAACCGAGGCTTCCGACGAATCTGCAGTAGCACTCGCCACCAATCTCGAGAAGGAATACTCAGTGCGCGCACTGCCCATCCGAGCAGACATTACCTCACGGGAACAATGCGCACGAATAGTGTCAACTGCAAAGGAACACTTCACAGACTCGCGAACAGGATCCTTTCAAATCGACATCATCGTTCACAACGCCGCGGTGCTATACATCGGCCCACTGGAGTCAGTCAAAGAATCCGAGTTCCACCGGATCTATGAAGTAAACGTCCTTGGACCTCTGTTACTCACCGGTGCGTGCAAGGAGTATCTTCCCACCGATCGCTCGGGGCGTATTGTGATGCTATCGAGTATTGCGGGGACAACGGGGCCAGAGAACACTTCACTTTATTCGGGGACTAAGGGTGCTGTTGAAGCCATGACACGTGTGTGGTGTCGTGAGCTGGCTGAGAGAGCCACAGTCAACGCAATTAATCCTGGTCCTGTCATGACGGATATGTATATGTCGGCATCTGATGCGGTTAAGGAGTCGCTTGCGTTGTGGAATCCTATCACGCCGTTGGTGGCTGTCCGGGAGACTGATAGACCGGAGGTAAAGGAGCTGGGGAAGAAGTTTGGAGGGAGAGCAGCGTATGCTGAGGAGATTGCTGGGTTGGTTGCGACGATCTGTAATGCGGAGTTTGGGTGGTGTACTGGGAGTGTGATTTCTGCTAATGGAGGATCGTCCTTCAGTACCTAAGAAGAACCAGTTTTGTTAATATTAGCTTCGTCGGCTTCTTCCAGTTATATATTCTATGGCATCAGAAGTCTATATGTAGTTTGACATATTTGTGTAACAATTTGATGCCTCGGGCATTTATTGTCGCCTGAGGCACACAATCGCACGTGAATGATGCTAAAAGAGACAAACACCAAATGCAAGGATTTCGAGCTTGTGTCACTGGTTCTTTATTTTTGCTTGATCTTATCTCTGATTGCCTCTGCTCAAATGGAGGCTTCATCTGTAGATCCGTTAAGCTTCAAATGTTGTTTAAGCTTGTTATTGGCCGAACTCAAACCCCCCCCCTTCGCAAAAAGCCAAGCAAACATTCCAACGTCTGTCCATTAACCTTCCTATACTCCTCTATATTTGTGTCTCCGGGACACTGAGATTTTATCCGTTGAGATTTTGAGAGTTTCAACTCTCGGGGGTACTGCAAATATGCCCAGTCCTCCCTCGCACCCATATTACCCCCTTGATGCCAATGTTGTGGGTTATGAGCCCAACCGGACTCCAGTGTTGGAACTTCTCGTCTCTGCTGGTGGGGCATGTACAATTCTTCTTAGTGTGACTTTTGCGTTGGTCAGCTATGTGAAACCGACACTGCGCATGGCGGATCGAATCGCCATCTTGTGGTTTGTGCTCTGTAAGACGCCAACCGAGAACCATTGAACATGAAGGTTAAATATTGACAAAATGGGGATCTATAGCTGGAACTCTGCACTGCTTCTTCGAGGGTTATTTTATGGTCCACCATAACCATATGGCCTCTGCCCAAGATCTTTTTGGGCAACTATGGAAAGAATATGCTCTGTCGGATTCCCGGTATATGACCTCGGACACGTTGGTGTTATGTATGGAGACAATGACCGTGGTGAGTCCCACCACTATAGTATACCCTCGAGGATTCACCGCTGATTCCTGATTTCCTACTAAGCTCCTGTGGGGACCATTGTGCTTCGTTGTTGCATACTTGACCGCAACCAGGCATTCCCTACGCCACCCGATTCAAGTCATTGTGTGCATGAGCCATCTGTACGGCGACACCCTGTATTATGCGACCAGTTTGTTTGACGACTATGTCCACAACCGACCATATTCCCGACCGGAGCCGTATTATTTTTGGTTGTATTACTTTTTGATGAACTTCATCTGGATTGTTGTCCCCGCGTGTATGTCCTGCAGTTCCCGGGAATCCCGCCATAAGCTGACTTTTTTTTTTTATAATAGACTATCTCTATCACAGCATCTCCACTATTTCGGCTGCACTCAAACAGTCGGAAACAGACAAGACTAAATAACACCTCTTTCGTCATAGCTGGTATAGTGGGGGGGGTCCAGGCGTAGTGGAGCATTGGGCTAGAACTTGTGTAAGAAAGATTCAAGAGGAATCTGGTGGTTGAGATGGAAGAGATGGGAGAGATGGGAGGGTCAGAAGGGGAGAGATTGGTCACTGTATATTATTTCGGATCATATGATAGCCCTCTATGATCCTTAAATGAGGGTTATATGCTATTCACTAGGGTTTAATAGGTAAGGATTAATAGGATAAATAGGATTAATATCTCCAGCCACTAAGTACCCTATGACGCTCATGCACAGGGGGGCCACCTGACGCGCACCTCGTCAATATTCATCATATTGTCTTATTTACCTGTGTTTCCCAAATGATTTCTATCTTCATTTAGCATCTTCAACAAAGTCTTACCAGATCAAATCACGGGGGTATCCTCCGCTTTAATAAGAGAACTAAGGTCGCGACTTGGTTTCCCGGCAACCAATTTAGTGCGGGAGGGGGAGAGGCTTATCGAACTTGTCAGCCCCAACCTCCAGGCCTAATTGTTTATGATCCCTGAAGGATTTTCCGATCCCAAAAAAAGCAAATGCTCCAAATTTGTTAAACATCTTTGGGGGCTTTGGTAAGTACACAAATTACTGTGACCGTCCAAATCAACAAACACCCCCGTGTTTTGGTGTTTGGTTCGGGTACCTAGTTGGACAACAAAACCAACAAAACCAACAAAACCGAGAGAGAGCTCCCTACTAAATGTTGGCTTCTTATTCCCTCCTATAGGTACCGATGCCATCTCCTGCGACGACACTACGTCCCTCCAATCGTGGAGGAACTGCAAAATCCACAAAACCGCTGGACATCGGAGAACCGCTAGGGGTGCACGACACGAACACGGTGCGCTCTAGAGTGCGAAAATGGCAGCAACAAGGCGGCGGGGTTGTGACAGTGGACGACCCCTATGCCGATGACGATGAAAATGACGCGAAGCCGAAACCAAAACCTGCCAAGGTCAAGATAGAGAAGCTGGAGAAGCCGAACAAAGACAAGCCCCCGACCACAAGGAAACGCAGTCACAGCACACCCCGCAAACGTGTGGTGAGCGACGAGCATTGGAAACGAACGCGAAATCGAGCCTCGACCCAATCCTCGTCGCGCAATCTACCTGCACCTAAGCGCATAGCCGAATATACCATAAACGAAGGGCAGCCTAAGTCTTCACGGGGAAAACACAACAATAGCGAAGATGAAGATGGGAAAGCTCACGATCTTCCTCGATCTCAGACAAAGCGCGGCACTGGGACAGGCTCTAAATCTCCTATTCAAGACACCAAGTCCGCAGGTGCGCGACAGAATATCGATACCATCACGGAAAGCGACTATGAGACAGACCATCCCAAATCCGTCGAAGCTTCAGAGCTCTCGGATAGACTTAGGACGCGCTCCCCTCCCCCAGAGGATGCATGGGCGGCAAGCGAGGCGGATTTCTCTGAGCTGTCGAGAAGACGCAAGCGTGGCCCAGCAAAGCCTCCCAAAGGTGGTATATTCGCGCACATGATCGACGAGTCCAGGAAAATGTTTGGAATCCCCGAACCCGAACCGCCGAGACCTACACCTACGCCAACTGCGGGCCGTGGAGCCAAAATCGAGGCATGGCTGTCTGATACACCGGATCCTTTTATGGATGAAGCCGGATCTCAGAATGATATACCGGCTCCTCTGGATCTGAAGTCAGGCCGAGCAAGACGATCTCAAAAACTTGCAGACGGAGACCTACAAGCTACTACCGAGTCAGAATCATCAACGATCAGCGAGCGCCCGAAGAGCTCCGACCGACCAAAGAGTGCTGTGAGTAAGAATTCCAAGGGAAAGGACAGTTCTTCTTCAATCGACAAAGGACCGAAGACACAAGATCGCGACACGGCGCCAGAATCGAAACGGGCTAGTATAGATAAGACCTCCAAGTTATCTGTCAAGAGCAAAGAGGACAATCCTGTCGAAGACAAGCCTTATGAGGATAGTCTCGCCCCCTCGGAGTCGGAGTTTCAACCCTTTCCAGATGGCGGCTCTGAAGTGTCGGGACATAATGCACCCGTACCGCTTGCCCGTAAGAAGCCATTCCCGACCACTGGTTACCATCGTTTATCAACCATCGCTTCTTCGGAAACATTGAGCACCACTCTGACAGATGGAACTGAGCATGTACCGAAGCCTACCTCAACCATAAAACGGCAATCAACACTTGCCGAGGAAGCAGAAGAAGCAGAAAAGGATGACCAGTTCGATCCAGATTCGCTACCTGTGGTCTCCTCGCAACTAAAAAGACGTCTTACCACTCACAATGACCTCATGTCTGTGCTGTCTGTTTCGGCTTCGCGGAGCAGAAGCACCCGATCGAATCGAAGTATTCGCACCAACAAAAGTCGCTTAGCCCACGCGACAGTTGACGATTTGCTTTATGAGCTTTCGGGTGACGAGACAAAGTATATGCGCGAGCTGAAAACACTGGTCGGGGGTGTGATTCCGGTCCTCTTGACCTGCGTGTTGTCCCGCTCTGATTCGGCCATTGCCGCAGGCCTGTTTCGGCCGTCTTTGGACCCTGAAGACGACCTGAACTTCTCAAAGCCAATTGTTAACATGGGAGTCGCGATCGAACGCCTCAAGAACCTGCACAAGCGAATCCCGCAGGACAACGCGGATGCATTGCTTACATGGGCGCAGGGTGCCCAGAGAGTCTACCGCGAGTACTTGAAGGCGTGGCGCCTTGGATTCAAGGATGTAATTGTCAACCTGGCTCCTTTGGAAGAAGATGAAGCCACGAACGATGCTGACACAAAGAGCCTGGATGAAGGCTTGGAGCGCGATGAAAATGGTGACATTGTAGATAGCGATGGGGAAAAGGTCGATGTGGCCTATCTGTTAAAGCGGCCGTTGGTACGTCTAAAGTACCTAGCGAAGAGTTTCAAGGGCATCAATATGCTAGAACCGTCGCCAAAGGCCGAAGAAACTGCCGCCGCCTATCAAAGTCTTGTGCTCGATGCCCGAAAACGTGTCCGCGATGAAAGAGCAAGGTTGGAAGACGACTCTGCTGCCAGTATCGACCCAACACGCACAAGAGACCCCATGACCTTGGGCGTCCTCCGAGGCATCGGCATTGATCAGAGTCGCCATGTACGTGCTCGTGATTTCTTCAATCTCTCATTATATCACTCAAGTGGGCAGCTTGTGGATTGTCGAGCTGAGCTTCTATATCGAGACAACCCCTCAAACAAAGGGCCTGGAGGTGATCTGTTGATTTGTGAAATCGATCATTCCGATCGTTGGCTTCTCTTCCCTCCCATGGACCTGAGATGTGTTTCAGCCCGCAAGGGGGAATCGAAGCATGAAATTGTGATCATGCTGCGCAGTGCTCCTGGGGACGAAACCAAGTACTGGCAAGAATTGATCTCGCTCCGCATTGACGAAGAAGAAGTTGGGTCCGAGTGGGTCTCACTGCTCGGATCTGACCCTATTCCACCATCAATCTGTCGAAGCCAAAGCTTCATCAGCCGAGCCAAGCAGAACAAGGCTCGCAAACCCCCTGCCGTTAGTTCTCCGCCCAGGCCACACCCAAATGACATTGATATTCCCATTGGCGAGAAGGCGACTGGTAAACGACGCTCATGGACCCCCAAAGAGCACTCGTCTGAGCCAAGTACGGTCAGCTCTGTTACTGATCCCAGGAGTTCTTTGTCCTCAATCATCACCAGGGAAACTGATTACACCACTGGAGGATCTGAGCTGTCTGCAAAACCCGCCCGCCCTGACCTCCCTCTTCTTCCTTCTACCGCTTCTAGGAGCTCGCCAAGCAGCCCGGAAAAGACTCCCACGGGGCTCAAACGATCCAAGGCTAAGAGACTTTCCCGCTACGGTGACAGCCCGGCTTCCGAGACTGCCTCTCAGCACACTGTTGTATCTGATAAAGCACATGAACACAGTAGGCCTGCAGTTGTCTCTCCCCACGCTCCAAGTACGCCAACGGGGGTAGATTCTATGGTGAAACGGAGGAATCCCCAGCCAGGGGATCACCAAGAGAGAAGTCGCGCTCGAGGATTCCTCAACCTCAGAAGACGCCTATTCGGGAACCCGAGCCGGAGTCTCCTAGAGTATCATCTGTACCCTCAGCAACCCTCCCATTGATTCCCAAAATCCGAACTCCTAGCAGCCAAACTCACCTTTCTACTCCGACAACCATCGGCCCCGAAGAGGAGGAAGATTACCCTCCACTTGAATGCTTGCCTAAGCAAGAAATTCCGGAGACGCCAACAAGAACCAGGAGAAGGAAGTCCCGAAGACGGCCAAAGGATGATGATAGTCCTCCCCCTCCCCCGCCTCATCGCTCGCCTAGCCCTGCAAATGGCAAGCGCTCAACTCCTCCAGTTCTCACTTCCAGTAGTGGTGGACTCAAGCGACGTGGCTCTTCTCCCCTGAAGCACGAATATGAACCCTCTACAGCTTCAGATTATTCAGAGACCGACTCGGACGCGTCGACAGTGCGCCACTATTCCTACTCATCATCTGAATATTCAAGATCAGGTGGCTTTTCTGATTCAGACGAGGACTACTCATCGGTATCTGAAGATGAAGAATATGTTCCTCCCAAGCCAAGAGCACCAGATGCGATTACTGACGCCAGTTCTCTCTCGCCTTCTAATTCTGTGTCGCAGAGTGGCTACCGTGCTGTCCCGCTGCAGCCTACCAAGACCAACAAGGCCATTGCCTCTATCTTTGCCTGGTCCGACAAAGGCAACTGGGAGAGTTTGCTTCCTGACGAATGTAGCATTATCGTTAGTCCTGGCCTGATCGAGGCCTTCGCGATGGGCTCTGAACCTGATGAAAACTCCGATTCCACATCATCATCAAGACCACTCATCTCTCTTGAATTGACACCACTTGTTCCTATTCGCCGTGGCACTGCCATCGATATCAGTATTCGCTCTCCTCCCACCGAGCGATCCAAGATCACGTCTAGCAACAACATCATGTTCCGGTCAAGCAACCCTGATGAATGCGACGCCCTGTACGGTCTCATCAACCAATCAAGAATCAACAACCCAACATATATCGCGCTTCAAAACGCCCGCGGCCCATTCAACGGCCAAGTCTCTACCTTCGAGCCTGCACCGAAATCCGGCGGAGGCCTGTTTGGCTGGCCCCGCCGCAGAAAGAGCTACCGCGCATCAAGCTCTCCGCGCTCTTTAGCCGAAGGATCCGAAAGCAGCGTGGGAACCATGAGCAGCGCATTCTCCGCCCTCAAACGCTTCGGCAATAGCAGCAGAATGTTCAACATTTCCCGCTCAACCATCGAATCCCGCACCGGCCGCGAAGGCAGCATCTACTCCGGCTCCGGTGACTCCGGCAACGATCCATCTCTCAATTCAGGCATAGGCCGTATCGCCGCCGCAGTCAAAGGCGCCGACGGCATCGGTCTCTCAAACGCCAAGGTCCGTCTTTACGCACGTGAATCCGCCTCCAAGTGGCGCGACATGGGCGCCGCGCGTATGACAATCATGCCCGCGCCACCCAAGAACCCCTCCCGCCCTGGCACTGGTGTCAGCGGCCGCAGCGATAGCAGCTCCCCGCAGGGCGAGAACGCCGACAACGCAAGTGGGACTTCACCTCCCGGGTCGGGCTCAGCCTCTCCTCGCGGCGCTATCTCGACTGAGAAACGTATCGTCATTCGCGGAAAGACACGTGGCGAGACTCTTCTCGATGTCTGTCTGGGCGAGAGCGCCTTTGAACGCATTGCCCGTACAGGCATTGCAGTCTCCATCCGGGAGGAGAATGAAGACGCTTCCATCGCCAAGAAGGGTGGTGTTGCTACTGGCTCTGGCAAGATATTTATGATTCAAATGAAGAGTGAGGCTGAGGCAGCTTATACCTTTGGGCTTGTTGGTAAGCTCAGGTATTGATGAGTGTGATGACTTGATGTTGGGTTTGGGGTTGGTGTGTATGTATATGCGTGAACGGGGTATGGATATGGGGGGATATGGGGGGTGTATTGGTGGCTTTTCTCTCTTTCTTTTCTCTTATCTTTTTATTTTTTGAATATCTTCAATCATTAGCTCTTTTCTTTTGTACATTTAGATTTCGCTGAATGATATCCTGGCCGTGGAATAATGCAATCATGTCTACTCTTTCTCTCTTCTCCTCCTTCTTCTTCTTCTATTGTAGTTATATACTGTAAATGACCCAATTCATAGGAATTATGACTTCCATGTTAGATCCTTCTTTTCTTCTTTTTGTATGCCATAACTTCTGCATATCATTTGTGGTGCTTCTGTGTATGTAATTTTGGTTATATATATATATATAGTCTAGTCCAAATAAATGAACATGTCTTAGGATACATCACTCCAAAGGCCATTCTGTGAGACACAGAGTAGTCTAACTCCTGATTTCCGCCCCATTAGTCTTCTTGAAAACATATCCAATCAAGTTACACTCATCCTTCAGCATGGAAACTAGCACATCGTCATCAATGGCAGCTTCAAGCTCCTCATCTTCAGCCCCAGTGCCAGCATTAGAATCGGACTCAGGCGCAAGCAGGGTAGGGTCAATGTGCGAGTACTGAGCCAAAGACTGGTGCATCTTATCTTTTTGACTCTTAGTATCGCCTTCCTTCTCTTTCGTACCCTTCTTCCCCTTCCTAGCCATTTTCGCACGATAAGTGCCGTCACGGATAGACTGTTCTTGTTTCTCCATATCGACCTCAGAAGCTTTAACAAGAGTATGAGGTTTCGGCAGTGACTCATCCGAATCATAATCATCATCAAAGTCAGAAGGCGGATCCGACAAATCGTCAACATCAGACCCAACTCCACCATCAACAGTAGCAGGTGTCACAGCCTCAGAATCAGCCTGAACACCCCGCCCACCACACTGACAACCCAACAGCTCATGCGTCTGACAAGCCCTATCCTCATCAAGCCTGAATAAATCTCTCAGCTCAGCAGCAGAGAACTGCGCTCCACCATTACTGGTACTTTTCTCTTGCATAACACTATCGGCAAGACCAAGTTTGGTAACCTGTCTCTGCCAGATCTTTTCTTCAAGACTACCCTTGAGCAGAATACGGTAGATGCGACAAGGCCGTTTCTGCCCATCGCGGTGAATACGCGCCATAGCCTGGATATCCGTTGCCGGGTTCCAGTCTACATCGAAGAGGATGAGACGACTAGCACCAATTAGGTTGAGACCTGTGCCACCTGCTTTTGCGGATAGCAGGAACGCAAAGCAAGAGCTTGCGGGGAGACGGTTGAAGTCATCTACCAGACCTTGACGTTTCTGGGCTGGTGTGCTGCCGTCGAGACGGAGGTAGGGGAGGCCTAGGGAGGTGAGAAGGGTTGCGAGGAGGGAGAGGGTTGAAGTGTAATTTGAGACGAGGACTATTTTCTCGTCTGTTTTGTTGCGCAATGTGTCGAGGAGTTGGTCGAGGACGCGGATCTTTGCGCTGGAGGAGGGGGATAGGTGGCGGTGGAGGGGTTGGGGAATGGATTCGATGAGAGCGGTCATTGTTTCGTTGGGAGTGTTGTTGTTGTTTTTGGCTGTTAGGAGGGAAGGGCTATTGCTGAGCTTTTTGAGGATTGTTATTAACTGCAGGGCGCTTTCGGCGTTGCCCATGGCGGATTGGAATATCGGGGAGGCGAGGACGGCTTTGTAGATGTTTGCTTGAGGGCGGGTAGGCTTGCAGAAGAGGACGTATTCGGTTTTTGGAGGGAGGTATTTGGCCAGGATGTCTGCTGTTCGGCGAAGCATGAATTTGGAGGTGAGTTCTCGCAACTCCTCGCCTCTGGACTCTCCTTTCTCGATTTCCTTGCTTGTTGCTTCTGGCTGTCTGCTGCGAACAATTGGAGTTTCGAACTCTCGAATGAAGGACTTAAAGCTTCCAAGGATACCTGGATTCACAAGGTCCACGGCCGCAAAGAACTCTTTCAGGTCATTTTGGATTGGCGTTCCGGAGAGAATGACTCTCTTCACGGCGCTGAGTGACTGGATCGCCTGACCACTCTTGTTCTGTAATGTCTTGAGCCTGTGGCCTTCATCGGCGATAATGATATCGACCCCAGAACTATTCGCCAAAGCTTCCTGGACCGTTCGGAGCTTTTCATATCCAACAATCATGATACTATAAGCCCGGCCCTTGGTGAAATCTGTAAGACGCTTACTCTTATCATCGAAGACGAAAACTCCAATGCGCTCATTTCCAAGCCACTTGCGGAACTCCTTCCGCCAGTTATTGATAAGAGTAACAGGACACACAATCAAGGCCTTCTTAATAACAGGCGGGGCTTCAAAGACAGGATTCTGCTTGAGCAGAGTCCAAAGCAGCGCAATAGTCTGCAAAGTCTTTCCCAATCCCATGTCATCCGCAAGAATGGCACCTTCACCATTAAACGACCGCATTCCCATCACACACTCATACAAGAACTTCACACCCTCACGCTGATGCGGCCGGAGGCTCTTAGTCAAGAGCGGATCAACAACAACATCCACAACCTGCCTCCCCTTCGGCACAGACTTCGGCCGCGGCATAACCAACGCACCAACCGCCTTAGGATCATGACGCGGAACGACCTTTCCCATAACCTTGGGAGTAACCGTATTCACAAGCAGTGGCGCCTTATAAGCCGCAAACGCCGCCGGTGCGGCTCCAGGGTTTGCATTGGGGTTGGTAACTAAAGCCAACGACCTCTTGAGGGACTGTGTCCGCTCCGCAGCAGTAGGCTTGCGTACTTCACCCTTCTTTCGAGCCGGGGGAGCCTCTTTCTTGGGCATGGGGACCGGGTCCGGCGTAGAGGTAGGTGCTAGTTTCGTGTCTTCCAAGAACCTTCTCCCAGAGAAATATTCCTTGCGAGATATCTCAGAATCTATTTCAACCTCTTTGCCAGAGATAGACAGTGTTGCTCCCGGTTCGAGGCGGGCTTCGTGTACCTTCCGTCCCATCTCCTTTCCAGCAGTGTCTCGTAGATAGACGAATTCTCCGCGGGTAGAGAGTATTCCGTCTCCATCCCATGTTTTGTGCTTTTTGGCGCTTGGTTTGCGCCTGTCTGAGTTAGCTGGTTCGGTGTGATTGTTACACCCTATGAGGGATCAACGTTCTAAGAACCTACCAGAGAACATTGAAGTATCTTTCGCCGGATGTACCATCTAGTGTCGATTCACTGGATGGTGACTGTGTCACATTATCTGATCCTCGGTTGTTGACTTGTAGGAGTGGCTTTCGACTGGCTATTGGTGTCGATTGCACATCCTTGGGTGCAGGTTCGTCTTCGAGGCGGGGCTTTTTAGCAGGACGACTAGGCTCATCGGGGGTATCGGTGGATGATGTAGCAGGGGTCCTAATTAAAGGTGATTTGAAGGGTTTGAAGACCATGGCTGTGTTGGTCTTTTTTCCTTGATCCAGATGGTGTTGGGATGAAGACGCGACACGGGCGCGGGACGCGTAATCACGTGAGCTAATCTATCGCTTTTGTGCATGAAAGGGTTGGGTCTAGAATCAGGAAACACTGAACTCGATTTAAATATATAACTATTCATACTGGCATGAATGCGCATATTAAGAAAGCTTGTTGAGACAAATGAGTATGAATTATACTTTTACAGTAGCTATATATAGTCGGAAAAAGCCCAACACGAATAGAAATGTACAAATGGTATATGTAAGGTTAAGTTGCACCATAAAAAGGAGCATTTTATAGCCGTGCAGCGAAGAAATGGCCGTGCCAAGCAAAATGGTATACGCAGAATAGTCCTTCCAACATCTCCAAGGAGATTTACCGAGCATCGTCAGCCAGAGCCTTGTCAGTCAACGGGACATGTTTGGGGCCCACGTAAGAGCCCTGGTGGATAAACCACCAGATGGTCATGAAGATAGACAGACCGCCAGTCATCAAACTGGCATAGTTCATTGTCGCAGCGCTGGTGGGGATGGCGTAAGGGAAGCAGAAGATGATAGCGAACACAATGATGTAAGCACAGGACAGGGAGTTGACGATGTAGCCAACGGTGTTGTTCATGAAGAAGTAACCCGGGACGAAGGAGGAACGGCGGGTCAAGATGTGAGGGAAGATGGCCATGAAGTACGAAAGACTGGACAACTGCACGAAGCATCCCACAAATGCACTGAAGGCGGTGGACGAGCCGAGGTAGATACAAGCTAGCACAGTGATCAAGCCACAGCAGGCTAGGGTGGCGTTGAAGGGGTTCTTGAACCTGGGGCTGATAGTTCCAAGCCATCCCGAGAATGGAGTGGCGCCGTCGCGAGAAATGGTCCAGAGCGTACGGCCGGCGGTGATGTAGCAGCCGCAGGCAGTAATAAAGGTAGGCAGGAAAGCGACGACTAGGAGACCCACAGAGCCGGCATGGGAGCCGGTGGCTTGGCGGTAGATCTCAGCTAGGGGGAAGAAGGTGCTAGGGTCGGACACCATGGCGAGGTCGTTAATAGAATAGAAGATTGCGATCATGTAGCAGATACCAGTGACGAAACCAACGCCCATCTGGGCCAAGATAGCCTTGGGGATATTTCGGCTCGGCCTGTAAGTTCAAGTCAGCATTGATAATAGATGGAAATCGGAAAAGAATCAGACTGACTTGGGGATCTCCTCGGCCAAGTGAGATGAGCAGTCAGGGGTGCCAACACTGTAAGCACCGTTGAGCATACCAGCCACAAAGACGAATCCTTGCTGGGAATAACCGGTTGCATTCTCCCACGTTTCCCACACGAGCTTGTCGCTGGCATATCCTGAGCCGGTCACATGAGGCATCACAGCGCACACAACGATGGTAACGAACACACCAGCGAGAATGAAGAACAAGCCAAGGTTTCCAATGTGAGGCAGGAAACGGTTCATGAACAGCACGACGCAGCAGCAAGTCCAGGTGCAGAGGAGGAAGCTGACGAAAACGTTCCATTGTGAGGGCACGAATTCGGGATGCATCTGTACATACATAGCCACGGTCTGCTGAGCCAAAATCAAAGACATGGAGGCGGCACCGAGAATCCAAGCGAGGCAGTTCCACCATCCGGCGTAGAATCCACACACGCGACCGTACTTGCTTCCTGCAGTGATAGTTGCCCAATGGTAGACACCACTAGACGAGGGCATACCTGATGCCAATTCGGCAATTGATGCGGCGACTAACCAGTAGCAGACGGACACAGCCATGCTGAACAAGGGGTTAGCTTTGAGTTTTTGTTAGACTGGTACGGGAGGGGCGACATACAATTCATAGATAGTTCCTGCAAGTCCACCGTTGCTCAGAGCCACCACAACACTACCACCTTGGGCAATCCACGTGTTTCCTGTTGTCACGGCCACAGCACAAATACTGATTAGGCCAAAGTTCCGGTCTAGTTCCTGACGATGGCCTGAGGCGTTGACCAACTCTCCATCGATTGGGCCATCATGGGTATAATCCGGCGTAGGTGCGATCTCCTTCTCAGGGACGTAGCTGATCTCCTTCTCCGGCGAATGATCGATCTCAGACCCGGCCATATTCGACGTGTTTTGGGAATTTCCCTAAATACCAATACTCCTTGGCGTATTAAATTTCCAAAGCGCACCTCCCAAGTTGAAGAATGACAATGTGAAGAATCGAGGTGAACACAAAAAGAAAAAGGGAGTAAAAGTAGGCGTACAACGTATATTATCAATGTCACGGCTAGGCCGATCAGATCAGGTCAGGTTCGACCATCCATGGATGAATTTCCTTCCCGACCCCCACTTCTACTTTTCTCAATCTTTGGCCAATCAACGTTCATGGTAGCACATCATTCGGTGGCCAAGTGGTTCGTAGTGGAGTCGCCCCAGAGTTGTCATTGGGCGAAATCGGAGGCAAGGGTGTTACATTGTACTCCAACGGAAACTCTAGCAAATAAACGCGGCTGCATGGCTGCATCACGCTTAACCCAGAAGGGGAGCTTCAGCAGAAAGAGATTTTCCATCCCCCTTAGTGTCATTTGGTTCCTTTGAACTTCGGCCTCATCTCTACTTCTTTCTTATTTGGGGAGATAAGAGATGCTTTGGGGCTCTTTGGCGGGTCTATTAACCCCAGACTCTGCTTATATCAATGCCGTTTATCGCTATACTCTAAATAGATGTCTATCAACTCTTTCGAAAGATGTATAACTTACATAAACATAACATATCTGCCTAGGTGGCATGTTGAAGCTGAGATTTTCATGTCTGTTACTCTGTACCCACATACAACATACATAGTAATGCACCATTACTCCGTACTCCGTACACAATTTCTTCTACTATTTCCCCTTATATGAATTAAAAACATAACATTTGCAAGTGAGACAGCTTAAAAACGACAACTATACGGAGTACTCCGTAGAACCGTATAGTCTGGTAAACTAAAGCACCAAAGTGGGCTAAATGCGAGCCCGAGTAAATCCGTTACTGGCTCAGATGCATAAAAATCCCACCTTTCTAATGATAGAGTCTAGTAATATAAAGTAGTACTGAATGTGGGACAAACAATCTATGCTTGTCAGGCTAATACGACAGGGGTGTGTCTCATCCAGGGCATATGGCGATATAGGGCTAGAGGGTGGCCCTAGGGCATCCTCTATACCCACTTAAGGCCAATGCCACAATATAAAGCACCCAATCTATGGCGAGATTCCGGATCTCCTGAGCTTGAGCCAGAACGTTCGGAAGTATATTGTAGCTGAATGTGGATAATGCTGACAAGGCGACTCGCACTTTAGCCTTAGATCTAGTGGGCACGGTCATTTGACAACGTGGTCTAGTTGATATTTCGCCTCTAGATTAATTAAATATTATAACTTGAATGACTACGGAGTAATTAAGGAGCGAAGGAGCGAAGGAATGAATTAATTTGGATTTGTATGGAGTATGTACTCCGTACCGAGTACGGAACACCATGTCGGCAGTGAACAAATTAATAAGAGTCTTCAATCCTGCAAGCTAAAGTTTAGCGTAGAGTAAATTATATGAGACATGAAAATATTTCCCGAGCATTCCGACGTTTTGAACCTTACAATAATATCAAGTTCATTTCAAAAATTTCAAATATTTCTATCCCAGTTGCATTTCCAGTTCATGCAAAGTTGTACGGAGTACGGAGTAGCTGTACATCATATCTTAGAACTTGCCTCTGGGGTCCCACACTCCATAAAAGATAAAGGAGACCTCCGTTCCCAGTAAAGATCCGCTCCGGTCCCCACCTGGGCACTTTCCCAAAATCCCTCAAAAAGGAAAAAGGCTCGGACCAATCAATGTCTCATCCAGGGATGTCGTTGGATCCATACTTTTACATTTATGGCTAGTGGCAAACTCAGAATATCTCAATATCCCCCGATCTGGCAGGTCTTCGTTCTCCCGAGGCCTTCGGTTGTTTGGAGTGAACTCTACCGACCAACTCAGGTACCGCTATGTCCGAGAGCAATAAAATGTTGGATATTTCGGGATTTCTCCAAGGCTTGGAGATCGAGTTACCTAAATATTCATCAACCTTGGAAAATTGGCTGATCATCCTCTCAGCTCCTCCACTGTGGGCCTTGTCCCCCAGATAGAAAGAGCCATGTCTATCTTCGCTTAGCTGACGGTTTGCCTTGGTGATTGGGCGTAGCAATTTACAGATGTATTCATATGTCCTCTTGCCTAGTTAAGCAGGTAGGTAACAATTAGGTTCGTTAGATTCGTTATGGATCTAGTACTGCGTACTACGTAGTAAAATTCTAGTAAATTTAGTGAATTTGAAAAGGCTAAAAGGCTTCCAGGGCTACCAAACTGTAAACAGAGTACTCCGTACCTAGGTAGGTAAGTCAAGGTAAAGTGGACCAATGACTATATTGCCCATTCACAAATCAGAATGCAGCAAGGAAATCAATTTCCCAAACTAATGTCATCCAAGGAAACCCTCGCCATCAAAAAGTATCCACCGTCCAATGGTCATTCTCGGTGCTCTATCTTGGAATGATTGGCGTTTTATCCTCTGCATCCTTCCCAGCTTTACCATACCTATCATACATCGAAGTTTCGAACACGCTTCGAACCACACACCCCTGTCGTACGATTACCGGCAGATGCAGGATCGGGGCTAGCAACCCTATACATAGTATCTCATACCCCGGCTAATTTATTAAAATGTGAGCGCGCCACTTTACTCTCGTTTCTCCTTTGGATCCTGTTAATCTGAATTCGAACAGGCCAGGGTCAATGTCTGGCTTAGGAGGTCACTTCGCGGTGGAATTCGCCCGTGAAACATGGGCTCTCTATTCCGTCGGCGTACTGGGTGCCGTCTTGAGATGGTGAGGATTAAATTGAATGTCCCAATATACAAACACCGACTGACTAACGATCTTTTGACAGGGTTGCTCGTATCCGACGTTTGGGCATTCGCAATCTCCAGGTCGATGACTATCTTATGCTATTCGCGGTACTTTGGTATACAATACTATGTGTCTCCTTAAATCAAGTCGCTTCTGGTGGCGGGTCAAATCTGATGACCGAAGAGGATAAGCTACACTTGACGGATTCAATTATAGCTGAACGAGTGCGCGGTAGTAAATGGGTCTTTGTGTCGGAACATTCCTTTATTCTTTGCATCTGGGCTTTGAAAGCATGCATGCTGGTGATCTATGCGCGTATCACGTATGTGGAATCTCGGTTTACAGCTTGTTCTTTTCGCTAACAATCAACAGTGAAGGATTGAAGCAGAAACGCTGGATCAACTATGTCGCAATATACGTTGTCCTCGGGTTTGTCGCAACCGAACTGTCGCTCTTCCTACTCTGTCGCCCACTATCGCACTACTGGGCCGTCGTCCCAACGCCAGAATACCAATGCTTCTCCTACCAATATTACGAAATCATCCAAGGCTGCATCTCAATCTCTGCCGACATCTTCATGCTCATAATCGCCATCCCGATGCTAGTCCAAGTCCGCGTCCCGCTTAAGCAAAAGATGATCCTCACTATCCTCTTCGGCATGGGAATCTTCGTCATCGTCGCCGCCGTCCTGAACAAGGTGTACTGTCTCGTCCCATCTCTGATTTCCTACGTCTACATGAACTGGTACTTCCGCGAAGCAACCGTCGCCATCCTAGTCACCAATCTGCCACTAGTCTGGTCCCTGCTCCGCGACGTCTTCCCCGCCCTCAAGAGCTGGACCGGAGGCTCCAAGCGCGGCACCGATCGCTACAAGTCCGGGCCCTGGACCAGCAAGGGTGGCTCCAATTTGCATCCCTATGGCCCACCCAGCCATGCGCGGTCAGGAGATTTCGGCATGCAAGAATTCGAGGGCACCACTACGATTACCCCGACAAAGGCGACTGCATCCGATGCCAGTATCACCGAAGATCGCGATGCGAGCAGTGACGATGGCTCAGCTCGCGCTTTGCGCATTCGTCAGGATATTACCGTTACCGTGCAGCGTGACTCGCGGCCAGAGGATTTTGATGCGAATTCTTCACGCATTACACGCGCCCGCGAGGAGGTTTAATCGACTCCCTTCTATACACTCAGAAAAGTCTCTTTTTTTAATCTGTCTCTTTTTTACGAATCCACGAAGTCCCTGGGGGCGGCTTGATACCCGGTCCTGTATTATTGTGATTTTATTTTTTCTGTACATATTTACTTCTACACCCTATTTTTGTTTCGCTGGACATATTGGAGAGACCTGTTTTTTTAGACATTAGAGTTTATCCTGGGAACATACCTCACAATTGCACTAAAAATCCAAAACCATGAATTGCATATACCACTATGGCTTAAATTGCGTATATCCGCTGACTACAATCTCCACCGTCATTTCCACAGAGAATCCCATCCCGTCTCCAAAATCTCTGCTCCCAACCACCTATGTATGTATACCCAAACCCCACGGTGAGTGGATTAACCGGTCAAAGGCAGATCAAACCTTGGAAAACATTCCATCACAACCCGCCGATCTCCCGGCACCTTGCATCAAGAGGTGCCGATCCTATCGGCATCGGACAGCGACGCTCTAAGCTGGGAAGGGATTGACGTAGGGCATTGAACAGCCGAACTTAGGCTAAGTTCTTTGACCTCTCCATGGAGGGGTTGGGCGAACCGGAAAACCCGGCTCAGACGCAATGGAGCCATTCTGGAAAATCACGTCGATTTTAATCACCCTATCCTCGGTTCAGATAGCCAGTGCTTATGTTGTAGGCTTGCGCTCGGGCTTAGTGGCTGGGCTGGATATTATGTGGCGTTGCTGGCCTGCTTATGCAGGCCATTGTGAATGCGCAGCTAGGATGGTTCATGCGGGTAACTATCGTGCGTAACCCGATCGAAATTAGAGTTGTTGTACATATATCTCCGTATTAGATACATCATACTAGAATCAAATCTTCTTTTGTGTAGACTACTCCGCATACAACATATAATATAATAACATTGGGCACCCACGGCTACAACTTATGTATCATATAGCGGTGACTACCCCAGAAGACCAGTCTCCGATTTTCGGTGATATTACCCCAAAAACGGTAAAATGGAAAAAAATAGGACAAACCTTCGTCTTAACCAAACAGTGGGTCGCCCTCAAGGTTGCCGCTCCACAACCAGTCGATCGGCGCATCGACCTTGGAAAAGCTGGTCCAAGCCGTCAATAGACCACCTATGTATCCATGGATACTTTGCTGGCATTTCTCGCTGGTACCATGGACAAGCTCAAGCTATCTTTGGATGACACTTTGGGGTCGGTTCCCGAACATTCCGCAGATTGTCGCGGGATCTGTGTGGAGAGATATGAGGTTGATAAGGGGGAAATGATTATCAATTATTGTCGGTCATATCTCGCAGAATTCTCACCTTCATTTACGGAGTTTTTTTTTTTTTTTTAATTTATATACTCCGTATGGATCTAGGGATTGCAAATAGAGTAGGTATTATTAGAAGGATGTTTTAAGTGTGAAATCTCAAATTGTTTCATTGAGAGCTTAGTATTAAGCCGCGTAAGTTCGCTAAATCTGAGTTTCAGCTGAGTTTCGGCGACCCAGCATTCCAGCGCGGTCTCCAACTTCCATCTATTGCCATCTATTGTACGGAATACATCGTTGTAAACTACATCTTCTCTTCTACGTGTCGCTGGGAACCCCAAACCACGTGTATTTGGCCTCATTTTTGAGCAAAAAGACGATCATCTATCCCTATACTAGTAACTTGCACGGATAATCCTCGGCATGATATTCTGATCTGTGCTGAAGGATTCACCTAAAAGTTAGTGTAACGGCCTCGGTATTAATTGTATGACTATGTGCAGAACCTAAGGATAATACTCCGTACAACATACTCCTATTCGAATGGTACAAAACTACCATCCCGAAGTGGATCCCCCAGGCCGAGCACTATGTTTGTATGTACGGAGTACACAACACCAAGTTCATATTTTTTCGAAAAGGAGGGGGTTGGTTCCCTTTCCTTTCCTTTTCTTTTCTTTCTTTTCTGTTATTTTTTTAAAATTATCTTTTGTCTCTCCACCATCAACCCCGAAAAACGTCACTCTTTAATTCCAACTGTGCTTGCGCACTCCGGTCTTCGATTTTGGCCCCCAATCCTCTTGCTTACAAGATAGGCGTTTTCTTAGGCTAGACCTACGGAGTAGGTGGCTACGGAATACTCACCCGAACAGGGGTTTTGCCCGGCAATTCAGTGTTCAGGTACCGGGCACTCCGTTCAATAGTGTATATATATTTATAGTTTGTTATATGTCGTACATATGCAGGACAGGCAGTGATTTTTCGATGTAACGCTACAACACATCTGGGGGCGAATTGTAACACTATTTGCCTTCGCTCTAGCTACATCTCGTAGGTACGCCGGTCGCCACGAGGGAGATGCATGGGTATCTCTTGGAACGGTGTTTGATTCGCCGTTACCAGCATAGAATATTGGAGAACCCTGTTCGGCAGTTCCGTGCAGCTACAGGGATATACCCTTGTAAGAGGTTGCATCGGCTTAAATTTTTAACCCTGAGGATTCTAGCTAAACATGTGCTTTGTCAGGGAAGGCGAAAAAAATATTATTGTGCATTCACCAGACAAGGTCATGTAGTCGAAGAAATTCTACATTCTTTCTTTGCTGGTCAACATCTATAAATTATTTATATCACCAGCAAGTTGAACCTCTCAAACTGTTTGGGTTTTAATTTTGACCCCTGCCAACCCCCAACCTAGACTCACTTTTACGCAACACTCTCGGAGTACTCGGTACATACATCATACTGTTGAAGTTTCAAGACAAAATTTATTTAAAGTTTGGAGTTTGGATCACAAAGACGGATCTGGATCTGGATCTGGACCACACAGCCGCCCAGCCCTGCGGACCCTCTTTCCTCAGAAACTGCATGGTCCTTGAATTGTAATATTCGACTTCCTACGGTAGTGGGCATGCCATTAGGTTAGATAGGCCGGGATTTCTTCAATCCTCAGGTTATGGCGGATGATAAGAGCCAAGATGCTCGAATTTCTTTTGGTCTCATGCAGCATCATTGGCCGGTAACAGATCATCTCACTTCTCGCAAGTTAATAAAGGTTGCTTGTTATATCAATGAGATTACATATGGGACTATGCACAATCTCACTTAGTACCTATAATCTTGATTAGTTTCGTCTTTTTCGACTTTTGGTGCTAACAAGAACGATGAATGTAATCTATCAAGGGGATTTTGTGATAACTGAGGGCTTCACTACGTTGTAATTCGTTCCTCCATCCAATATATATATATAATGTACTCTTCCAGGCCAGTTCACTGCTTAACAGTGAGAATCTCTATGAACGTCCCCCTTCCTTTTGGGGTTTCTCATCTTGACACTCCGTCTGGCTCCGCGGTTTCTTCTTTATCTCATCCAATATATCACTCTCCTCAGAACCAAGCATTTACTCTTCGTAACACACAGAATCCACCTTAGTCCAATCTGAGAATGATCTGAGAAACTTGGCTACGACACGATGGGCGTTTTGTTGAGCCAGCTTGATAGCCCTTATATATTCAATGCAGGCAATTCCAATATAGCCATGAATTGCGGCAAATTGTAATGCTGTCGCCCCTGTGGGAGACGCTGGGTTCTAGTTCACATTTGCGCTTGCGTCGAGGAATAAATCCACAAGCTCCATGTTCCCTTGCTTTGCTGCCTGCTGTAGTGCGGTCATGTCGCCATCTCATATGGTGGACTGTTGACATCTGCACCTGCTACCAATACCGTATTCGCAACCTCCAGATTCCCCCCTTCTACTGCGTGCCACAGAGTAGTATTTGGATACTTTGGTGTCGGTAGAGCATTGATCCTCGCACCGGCTTCCAAAAGAATCTTCATCATCTCCATGTTTCCCACTTCACCAGCAACATGTAACGCGGTTGTTGCAGGCCCAAAGAAATCGGTTGGCTCATGGATCTCATTGACATCTACGCCTGCTTCCAGAAGCAAAGACACAATCTCAAGTTTCTGGGATCTCACTGCAGTCTGTAAAAGTGGCCCCCCTTTTGAGTTCTGGAGTAGAGCATTGACAGCAGAATCGACTGCCAGGAGAATTTTGAATTGCTCAATGTTTCCATACTCCATGGCGTATTGCATGTATAGTCTACCGGTATGGCCAACAATACGATTGACGGTCAGCAGAGTCTACAATAAGGGTGTATCCCCTTCGTTCAACGCAAGCTTCACGGAGTTTGAAGGCCGTTCCATGTTTATCTCAATGAGCAAGACCAGTTGGTGTATATCTGCACCAACATCTAGCAAGTCCTGGACAAGTTGTCTATCCCAAAAGTGATGGCTTATTGATAAGGCTCGTCCCTTCCCTTCCATTGTCCAGGTAGTTCCTCGCAATAGGACTTGTGATATTTGTCGGTTGCCATGGCATGTATCACTGCCAGTTCGAGCACCGAATAGAGGAGATTGGATATCTTCCTAGGGTCGCTGAAATTCCACCCACCCATAATCTCGTTGGTATATATATAGATTGATGGCGAGCATGGGGTTCGAGTATCTTCCGAGGACCGTGAGGATCGTGTGAATATACGTTACCCGTACTATTGATGAATGTCTGGTTGAAAATAGGATACATGGATAGATTGCAACGATGTAAATCAATTTCTACCGATCCTCGAAATTTCTAATGAGCATTGGTAGTATGTTATCTCGGTCTGGAAGGGCACCAACATATTTTGAGCCTGCATCTTGATCCTGGGCTAATCTCTCTCTCTCTCAAAGCGCTATATGTTATAGTCGATGGCCCACGTGTCGCCGAAAGCTGTTTAGATCAACCAAGAGCACTTCCTTGAAGACTGTACTGCCGCTTTCATCGCCATTCTGTACTGCGCTAAGCCACCCAGACACTCGGTCCAAGTCTCTTCAAAATATGACACGCTCTCTATCAGCAAACTTATCATTGAATGTGGGAGGGAGATAAAGTCGAGCATATACTCTATCGATCCGGGAAGTTTCTGGCGCAACAGCTCTAAGAATGAATGCACTCCATATCGCCACATACGCACCAGCATCGTCACCACCTGTTAGTGAAATCTGGGCAGGTGCCCAGGTGTTAGTCTGATATGTGTCCGTGATGTCTGTTTCCGTTCATAATAACTTTTGATCTACAATAGGCCTGGAGGTATTTTGCGTATGGATTGTGAATTTGAATAAATAGAATTATATTAACATGACCGTTGCTGAGGCTGATAAGCCTTCGAATCAAAGGCGATCCACCCAGCGAAGACTATGTAAGTACATGAAAAGCAAATGCGCAGAGAGTGCTAACGCCGTGCGAACATAAAAAAGCGAATCCGAAAAGAAAAAACAAAACAAAACCATAAAAGAATCGTGTATCATATCATCATTGCTGAGTATGTTCAAATCGTATTTTGTGTTGCGCGTTTTGTAAAAAGAGAATAGGAAAACTTGAGAAAACTAGATCCGTCTAATCATCGTACAGATCAGGGGAGACGGGATCATCATTCATCTCATCGTCGTAATCACCCTCGTCCATCATATCATCATCGCTATCGTCACTGCTTTCACCAATCTCGTGGTTAGGCAGGACATCGATGCGACCTTCGCGCATGACGACTTGGGCAGTCTCGCCATCCTTGATGCTTCCGCGCAAAATGAGCACAGCGAGACGGTTGAGGACCTCGCGCTCGATGAGTCGGCCTAGTGGGCGAGCACCGTAGGCTGGGGAGTAGCCTGCTGCGCCAAGGTAGTCCTTGACTTCATCTGTGCACTGGATAGTGACATTGCGCTCGTTACTATCGAGCCGCTTCTGTACCTCGGAGAGACGGAGGTCCACAATCTTGCGGATCTCGCGCCTGGTGAGACGGTTGAAGATGACGGTGCTGGAGATACGGTTGAGGAATTCGGGGAGGAAGTAGTTGCGAAGTGCTTCCATGACCAACTCGCGGGTCTGGGGCTCGATGCGACCGTCCTTGGTAGTGGGGCGGGAGAGATATTGAGCACCCAGATTAGAGGTCATGACAACGATGCAGTTCCTTGCGTCGACGATGCGACCCTGGCCGTCGGTGATACGGCCATCATCCATGAGCTGCAAGAGGACAGTGAGAACTTCCTTTGCGGCTTTCTCAACCTCGTCGAAGAGCAAGATCGAGAATGGGCGACGACGCAGGCTTTCGGTAAGTTGGCCACCAGCGTCATGGCCAACGTATCCGGGGGGTGCACCGATCATACGGCTGAGCGAGTGGCGCTCTTGATATTCAGACATGTCGAACCGGATCATTGCCTTTGGGTCATCGAAGAGGAATTCGGCAAGTGCTTTTGTGAGCAGTGTCTTACCGGTACCGGAGGGACCGCAGAACAAGAAGCTGGGTGGCGAGTTGGGGTTACTGAGACCTGAGCGCTGCAAGCGAATGGCGTTGGAGACCGAGACAACAGCTTCCTTCTGACCAACAACAACTTTGCCAAGGTATTTCTCCATGTTGAGCAGCTTGTCCTTTTCGGTGGTCTTGAGCCTCGTGACAGGGATACCTGTCCACCGACCAACAATTTCATTGATTTGATCGGGACCAACTGCATCGGCAAGGAGTGCTTCACCGGCATCGCCTGAATGAGCGCGCCGTTCAGCATCGGCCCTGGCCCGGTCAGCCTCGAGACGCTCGATGAGAGCTTTGGTCTCTGGGATGGCGTAGTATTCGAGATCAGCAGCAGTTTGGGTGTCGCCTGAACGTTCGGCTTCGTCACGCTTGACCTTGAGAGAGTCAAGCTTGATCTTGGCCTCCTGTACTTCGCGACTGCGTTGCTTTTCACTTTCGTACTTCTCGCGCATCGGCCGGAGCTCCTCGCTAACATTGGCAGCTTCTTGTTTGGCAGCCTCAAGACGAGCCTTGGACGCATCGTCCTGCTCACGCGAAAGGGCGTGAATTTCAATCTGAAGCTGGCGAGCCTTTCTTTCCAGTGTGTCGAGAGCTTCGGGCTCGGACTCACGAGTGACTCGGACTGCAGCTGCAGCCTCATCAATCAAATCGACCGCAGAATCAGGGAGTCGGCGAGCCGTTAGGTAGCGAGATGCGAGAGTGGCGGCAGTGACGATAGCTCCGTCGAGAATGTTGACACCGTGGTGAGCTTCGTATTTTTCCTTCAGACCACGGAGAATAGAGATGGTCTCTGGGACTGTAGGCTCCTTGACAAGGACCTGCTGGAATCGTCGCTCGAAGGCCTGGTCCTTCTCAATATACTTGCGGTATTCAGAGAGAGTCGTGGCACCAATACAATGCAGTTGACCGCGAGCCAGCATGGGCTTGAGAAGGTTAGCAGCATCCATACCGCCTTCGCCGCTGGATCCAGCGCCCATAAGCAAGTGGATTTCATCGACGAAGAGAACAATGGTATCCTTGGAATCTTCAATTTCCTTGAGAACGCCCTTCATGCGTTCTTCGAATTCACCGCGGTATTTGCTGCCCGCAACCAAAGAACCAACATCGAGAGAGAGAAGGCGGCACTGAGCCAGGTTTGCAGGAATATCGGCATTGACAATACGGCGGGCGAGACCTTCGACGATGGTGGTCTTACCCACACCGGGCTCACCAATAAGCACTGGGTTATTCTTTGTGCGTCGACTGAGAATGCGAATGACGCGACGGATTTCCTCCTCACGGCCAATGACCGGATCGATCTTACCCTCCCGAGCCAATGAAGTCATATCAATGGTGAACTTCTTCAGGTTCTCATTCTCTCCTTCGGCATCGGCAGTCTTGGAGTCGACCCGCTTTGTGCCACGAATTTGCTGGATAGCAGTGTCGATCAACTTGAGGTTGGGAATATTGGCATCACCCAGAGCACGCTGGACCTGTGAATCTTGGCAGACAGACTGGATGAGATGATCAACCGCGACGAAGCTATCCTTTTGGGTTTTTGACAAATCGGTGGCTGATCGAATGACTTTGGAGAGTTGCGGAGAAACGCTAGGGTTCTCTGGGGGAGGGTCTTGACTCGGTAGGCGGACGAGTAGCTTCATCAGCGATCGGTCGAGGAGCTGAGAGTCACCGTGAGCTCTTTCGACGACCTGGCGGAAAAGAGGAGCGGCTGAGGAATCGTGGGAGGCGTGAGCACCAGAAGGAGTCTGTTGATCTTGAGACTCATCTGGGGAGGGGTTGAGCAGTGCGACTGCCAAGTGAAGAGGCATGATCTGGGAGTGCGCATATTGCTCGCAGAGGCCGCTGGAGTCCAGCAAGGCCTTGTTGGCCCGATCTGTGAACTGGACGCCGTTCATTTTGAACGGATGAGTGGGGTAATATCAATAGTTGTAGGCGCTGATGTTTCGAGAGGTAGGATCGAAGCGGTAGTGTAGTGTAGGAGTAGCGTAGTGTAAGAGTAGAAAGTAATTGAGCTGGTAAACTTGAAGAATGTTCAACTTGAAGCACGATGATGCAAGTTCATATACTCTAGACGCGTGGGGTGCCCGAAGCTGCCATTAGGTCCATGTCGTCACTACTGGGTTCCACCGCCTTCCAGAAGCTGCCTGACGTTGCCTGACATTGCCTGACAGCGCTGGGGATCACCCGAAGATAACGGAGAAACTATTACTCCGGGTTAACTACGGACCACATACATAGTGTAGCATGTCACTCCCTAGTGAGATACACTCAATGACACTTTGATTGTTATACATACATACACTATAATTAGTCAATTACCGCCTTATTACATAAGGCGACAGGTACCAATATAGTTACATAGTCTAGACCTCGTGGAGGTTATATAGGTAATGGACAGTACCGCCTACAAACTCTACAACATGGGCAGATTGTGCCCGGCACGTGATACATCAAAGTCGGGCCACACGTGTAATCACGTGATATGAACGTGAGATTACACGTGATATGAACGTGACCCGTGAACCTGTACAATTATCCATTATCCCGCTGACCTAATCCCTATCCGTTCCGGGATGAGGTCAGCAACCTCGGATTAAATCGCGCAAACCAGCAAACCAGAACCCTTGGATGATCAGACTCCCCACGTTAGAGCGATGATTCGGTGTTGATGCCACTTTGAGCTTGCGTGCCTTGCAGTGGAGTATTGAAATGACCCAGTTTCTCCGGCTCCTCTTTAGC